GACTGAGGTGGTGACCACCTCAGCAGGAGAAAACCACTGGGCTTCTTCCTGAGCAATCATTAAACGAGGCTAGTGCTGAGAGTATGGTGGGAAGTGACAGCAGCCAGGGAGGTGGGGGTAGATGCTCAGGAGAGGAAGGCTGATGCCCAAGATCATCAAGATGGGGATCATTCAGTCAAGGCCAGCTTGGACAAAGGATGGCGCCAATGAGCTATTCCCCACATGCCCCCAGGATAGCACCATAATCAAGGCCTGTGTGTCTTCCCCCAGACATGGACCCTGGCTGGGGAGGAAAAAGGGAGAGTGGGAGAGAATCCTGAGGGTGCACTTTAAGCCAGGAGTGACAAACATACCTTGGATTGGCAAAAGGACAGTTTTGAATAGTAATGGAAAGGGGAGCTTGAGACCTGGAGTTACAGAGAAAGAATATTCCAAGATAATGTACCCTGAGGCATCTCCCTTGTGATCGGTGAACTCACTATTACCCTTGAGCATTTGTCTTTGCGCAGTGGTATTTTTATTCTGTTGGATAAATTCTGAGAAATGGTTTGCAAAAGCTGATGATTTTAAAATGTATTTCTTTTATCCAACACCCATTTAATTCCATTATTAATTCAAAAAATATTTCGGTTGATTCCCTTGGGTAGTTCAGCCATATAATTACTTCCTCTGCTAATCGTGATGCATTTATTTTCATGGTTCCATAGTTATGTACTTCTGGCTTTTGTTCCATGTCTTGTTGAACTGATTAGACTTCGAGAACCACTTTCACACACAAAATCTTATTTTATTCCTGATGTCAATGGTAATAACATTGTTTGGTAACTAGCGTGTATTGAGCAGTTATTATGTGTCAGGCATTGTTCTAAGCACTTTGTGTGTGTTATCTTATTTCATTGCCACAACACGCTGTGAGGTAGGCATTATCCTAATCCCCGTTTTACAGTGAGGGTGCTGGTCAGACAAGTGAAATAACTACCTAAGAGAGGGAGTGGCCAAGCTGGGATGTGACCTCTGGCTCCAGAGCCTGGTGGGCCTTACTTCTAGCCAGGTGTGTCAGTAAATGCTTAATATCAACTCTGAAAAAAACCCTGATCTACAACTTTCACTAATTTTTCTGGTGTAAATGTTCCCACCATGGCCGGCATGGCATCACGGAACACAGATTTGGAAGAGATCCTTATAGTTCCTTTTCAGAGCCCGTGCTGAACACTCATGCCGATTCTGGCACACCACAGCCTCTGGTGTTGTGCCACGAGGCAAGGTGGTGGCTGCTGCTTAAGATATCTATGTTTTTTTTTTTGAGACAGTCTCACTCTGTCGCCCATTCTAGAGTGCAGTGGCCCACTCTCGGCTCACTGCAAGCTCCGCCTCCCGGGTTCACGCCATTCTCCTGCCTCAGCCTCCCAAGTAGCTGGGACTACAGGCGCCCGTCACCATGCCGGGCTAATTTTTTGTATTTTTAGTAGAGACGGGGTTTCACCGTGTTAGCCAGGATGGTCTCGATCTCCTGACCTCGTGATCCACCTGCCTCGGCCTCCCAAAGTGCTGTTATTACAGGCATGAGCCACCGCGCCCGGCCGGAGTTGTTTGATTTTAAGAACCAGAAATCAGTTGGAGCTGGCCCAAGCAGAAACTGCAATTTATGATAGGGATACAGTCTCAGAATGAAGGGCAGGAGGCAGCAGGGCCTTGGGCAGGGCTGGGAATGAGGAACAGATGTACTGTCAGGCCTCAATGGGTCTCCGGTTCTTCATCTGCTACAGGTCAGCATTCTCTGCATCTCTGGCCTACAGGGCAGAGCACTGCCACCCATTGCTACTGAGCTTCCTCGCTGAACTTCCTGCCACCAGCAGAAACCAATGCCCTCTCTGATTAGCTCAGTGGGTCCAGGGTCAGCCCCAGGTCAGCTAGCTACAGCCATATGACTTTAGTGGGTCTGTTTACCTTCGTTCATGACCATATTGGAGCTATCAGTCTAGACCACGAGTACTCCTTTCTGACTCTAAAACTGTACTACACTTCAAACCCATTGTCATACCGTGCTCCTCTGGGCTCCTGTCATCTGGGCCCTACCCAGCTTTCTGACATCATCCCTGTTTGTCTCTCCTTTGGTCGCTCTGTCGTTCTGGCCTTCTTGTTGGCCCTTGAACCTTATAAGCTCATTCTCGTCTCAAGACCTTTGCACCTGCTCTTCTGGTGTTTGGAAAGCCTGTTCCATGGATCTTCCCGTGGTTCACACCTTCCCTTCGTTCGTGGTTCTTCCTCAGAGTGCCTCCCTGAGCATCCTGCTTCAAGCAGTTCACTCCATCCCCGCCTACCCTGTTACCTGCTTTATTTTTCTTAATCATGCTTAACATTACATGTAGTTGTATTATCTTGTACTTGACTATCTGCTCATGATCTCCCCCACTGGAATGTAACCCATGGGTGCAGGGACTTTGTCTTATTGATGGCTGTATTCTCAGCATCTGCAACAGTACTTGGCATGTAGGAGATACTCACACCCACTCGTTGAACGCATGATTAAATGATGAATGAATGAATGAATTGCAGACTTTTTATAAAGTGTGTATCTTAAAAAATCCTTAACTATTGACTTAGTTTCCAATTGTGTTATTGTGTATTCTGTACTTGAATGAAATAGCATTTCTCTTAAAATGAGATGTAATTCAGAGTTTTAATGGTCTGACCTTCCATAACCTACCCTTTAGCATACTTTCTCTGAAGACTTCCCTGTAGCATTCTAAATTGGTGAGGTTTTGCAGTAATATGTGGAAATAGGCTTTTATTGTTTATTCCAGGCAAGAAATAGTTGATGTTAATTATAATATGATGACCATTATGTTTCTGTGGTAAGAAAGAGAGGGGCACAAAGAGCTGGGGTTCTATTTTCTGTTTTTAAAGTCTCTATGTAAGCAGCAAACATTATCCATTTGTTCAAAAGGCTATGTCATAGGTGACTCCTACAAAAGTTATCTTTAACTAAACCCCAGTACAGTAACTCTGAATTATCAAAATAAGTATGTGATGAAAAACAGTGCTCTTCTTGAAAAAAAATTGAGAAAAATATATTTCCAAAAGTATTGAAGGAAAAAAAGATATTTCTCTTTCTCATGAAAAATTCAGAGCAAGAATGAAAATATTATTTTCACAAGAGAAAGTATGCTTCTCGTCCTAGACAAGCCTTTTTTCTTTCCAAAGCTGGAGAGATTTTCAGCTGAAGAAAATTGACAACTTAGCCTCCAGGCTGAATTTTATAGTTTTTATCAACAACAGCTGTGTTTATGATGGCCGTACATTGCCCTGAACAAATTCGAGATTAACTGTAGGATTGATGTTCTCAGAAAATTACTTACAAAATGAACATTTCTCTTACTGTTTTGTGACGCTCCAGGCCTAATGTCCTTAACCTTAAAAAATTACCTCAGAAGTTCTTTCTTTTATAGATAGAAGGTGATACAATCTGGTGAAATAGAATGTTCATATTGCTAAAGCTGTAATTTTCTACCTTAGCTGCGTGATAGATTCATCCGGAAGCTTAAAAACAAAAACCAAAAAAACCCCCAACAACCCAATACCAGAGCTCTACTCCAGCCCAATTAAATCAAAAGCTGGGGACCAGAAATCTTGGTTGTTAGTAGTTTTTGATCCTTTGACAGGTGATTCTAACCTGTCACCAGCATTGAGAACCGCTACCCTTGAGTCCTTGTCACAGTGTGCAACTGATCCACCCTGGATCGGGTTTTCTGGTGGGGATGCTCACTTATGCTGCCCCCCGGCCAGGGGTCTCCAACCCCTGGGCCGTGGACAGGTGCTGGTCCAGTCCATGACCTGTTAGGAACTGGGCCATACACAAGAGGTGAGTGGTGGGCGAGGGAACATTACTGCCTGAGCTCCCCCTCCTGTCAGGTCAGCAGAGGCATTAGATTCTCACAGGAGTGTGAACCCTATTGTGAACTACTCAGGCAAGGGATCTATGCTGCATGCTCCTTACGGGAATCGAATGCCTGATGATCTGAGGTGGAACAGTTTCGTCCAGAAACCATCCCCCGCCTCACCCATCTGTGGAAAAATTGTCTTCCACAAAACTGGTCCCTGGTGCCGAAAGGTTGGGGACTGATTCCCTAGGCCAAATTGGGAAGACAGTTAAGGTTTCCTTTACTCTCTCATCTGCCTTTATCCTGTGCTTTTATCCTCCCTTTGCCTGCAGTTCGGCTATCAGTTAAGCTAGTCCTTGCTAAAACATAATTCCACAAAGCTCTCACCCTTTCTAGTGAACTATTACCTCTTCCCTGCTCCTCCCAAAAGGAACCACACCATGTGATGCAAAAGAAATACAGAGTGACGTGTAATGTAGCTGGTGAGTTGGAAGTAAAATTGAGGAAAGGAGGGAAGAGTCCTTGGCTTCTATCAGGTCACTTTTGGTAAACAATCGTCTACTCCAAAGGGAAGTTCTGCTAGATGACTCCGGCAACTTACTTAACCTTTCTGTGACCCAATTTCCTCATCTTTAAGATGGGGATGATATTAATATTGACCTACAAAATCACTGTGAGGATTACATAGATAAAAGAGTACCTGGCTCACAATAAACAGACCATGCATGTTGGCAATTATTACTATAATTGTTACCCCTTTAAAATCCTTGAATTCATAACTGCATTATAAGGAGTTCTACATGGAACTGGCAAACAGAGAAGGCATTAGGATGGATTTTCTTTTGAAGCTAACACACTCTGATAGTTTCAAAAAGTATTTTGAGCTATGGCATCCTTATTGGCATATACACAGTTCCTGTATCCCAAGGCAATGCTTAATTTTGGCCATTCATTTAGATGTATAAATGCCAACAGCTTTTGGAAGAAAAAGCCATTTTCTTTACTGTATAATCAATCTTGTCTATCCAAGACTCCTGGGAAATGATGGAAATGAGGGTGAGCAAGTGCATAGCTGGAGAGAAACAAGTGTTTCTCTAATTGACTAGTCAACTCAACACATTCATTAATTCCAAAAAACATTTAATGATAAACTCTTTGCCAGTTGTCATGCTAGGAAGCAGGAATACCATAGGAAGAAGACATGGTTTGTGCCCTCATGTAGCTCACAGTTCATTAAGCTTATGGAAGCGGGTTTCGTGAAACTGAATTTCAAGTCACAGAGGAGAATGGTGAAGACGTACCTTTGGCTCCACTATTTTTAGTGTTCAAAGTTGTCCATCCCACTTTTTGTGTTTTAAGCCTTTCAGATTGACCACAATAAGTGAGGACAGCATGAATAGGTTGGATTTGTTTATCCTCTCAAGGATCTCATTTTTTCTAGAAGGCTGGCTAGTCAAACAATGTATGTATTCTTTTGGTGGAAATATGCTTCTTACCTACCACAGAAAAAGTAAGAAGAGTACTCACAAAGAACTGGGAGTAGATATGACCAGGGACAATCTAATAGCCTTCTGTCCTTGGAAGAAACATGAATTTTTATCGCCTGACATTTCAGGCTTGTTATCTTCTTAGTTCCTGATGTGAATGCATTGAATGTCAAATTGAAGTGGTGTTTTCCTCTATTTTTTTACCTTGTTGGAATCTTCCCGTATACGGCATAAAAGGGTCTTTTTGTTTTGCTTTGTTTTAAAGCTTTACTGAATTCTTGAAAGATTCTGGATTGCTTAAAATTATTTTTAGATTATGCTAAACATGGAGCTGCATTGTACACAGAAGTTCTTAAAAATTGTCCCAAAAGCTAATTTTTCTAAGTGGAATAACTTTTGAATTGAACATTTATAAGATTCCTTTTATTTTTTAAGGAGCTCTAAAATCTGCATCATAATCTAAGAAGTCTTAATTTTGAACTTTAACTCACAATGATCTTCTACACTTGACATTATTTCACCTGTATCCTGTAGGCTCTCTGTTACGGTTAGCTTAGAAAGTGACCTAAGTGAGCTTAGTGTTTAATGTAGCATTACTGTGACTTTCCTTTAGAAATTCACTTTTATTTGTCTCCAGTCTACTTCGTCTATTTGTTTTTGGTTTTTTATTTTTTACTTTCGAGACAGAGTCTCATTCTGTCGCCCAGGCTGGAGTGCAGTGGAGTGGTCTCGGCTCACTGCAACCTCCGTCTCCCGAGTTCAAGCAATTCTCTTGCCTCCGCCTCCCCACCAAGTAGCTGGGATTATAGATGAACGAACGCCACCATGCCTGGCTAACTTTTGTATTTTTAGTAGAGACGGGGTCTCACCATGTTGGCTAGGCTGGTCTTGAACTCCTGACCTAAAGTGATCTGCCCACCTCGGCCTCCCAAAGTGCTGAGATTACAGGTGTGAGCCACCACACCCAGCCCATCTATTTGCTTTATATAATCTAATTTTCTTTTTAAAAACATGGTGAGGTGGAAAGTCTCAAAGATGAACCCCAAAGGACCACACTTTGGCATTCATGCCCTCATGCAATCCTCTTCTGCATTAACTCCAAGCTGGCTTATGACTTTAACCAACAGAACATAGTGGAAGTGATGCAAAGCCAGTTCTATGACTAGCTTTTAAGAAGACTGGCAACTTCTGTTTCCTCCTCTTGGAACAATTGCTTTTGGGAGCCCTAGGCTCATATGAGAGAAATTTCTTCAGTGTCCTGCTGAAGAGATCATGTGAAGATGCTCTGAGACTATATGGATAGGGGGCAAGCTCCCCCTGTCTCAGTGTCCTAATGGGGCTTCAGATGACTCCAGTCCTAGTAGTCCAAACGTAGTCCAATTTCAATGACATGAAAGATTTCAAAAGGGAACAGCCGAAGAACCACCTAGCTGAACTCAACAACCCACAGGAAAGTGAGTCAATAAAATGGCTGTTGGTTAGCCCCTGTGTTTTGAGGCATTTAGTTATGCAGCAATAGTTAACAGCACATATGATAGACTTGTTAATCATAAGACTCTAAATATATCATTTCTTTTTACCAAAGTGATTTGCTTTCTTCAAAGTACTTCATATATCAGTTTGAAAGATTTCTAGAGTAAAACAAGCTTTCAGTGCACTCAATATCTAGGTTAGTGAATAGTATTCTTATTCTCGATCAAAAAACTCATCAAAAAGTGGGATTCTCTCTGTCCTGGTCCTCACCAGTGCTCGTGGCTTCTTCTCATCTTTCCCCAACTCATCTGAGTCAGAGCTGGAACTGTCCCAGAGATGCTGTCTCTGGGCCTCTTGTTCATGAAGCCATGTTTCCATTGTGCCAATTTTCCAGGAACAGTAGTTATTCACTGCTTGATGCTTCAAAAATTCTGTATTCTGTGAATTGCCTACAAAAAAAATTAAGTTTCTTTAATTTAATTTTTTCCTTTAGCAATGATTATTTGTTTATTAAGTGCCTAGCTTAATAAACAATCTGTTTGGTGATTTTTCAAACTGTATATACATATGTGTATATATATGTAACTTGAGGTATATATAAATATATACATTATATATATAAATTTCAACTGGTATCTCTGTAAGGATTAAACTTTTTTTTAGTTGTTATTTTTTAGTCTATTTATTTATTTTTTTGAGGCGGAGTCTTGCTCCATAGCCCAGGCTGGAGTGCAGTGGCGCCATCTCGGCTCACTGCAAGCTCCGCCTCCCAGGTTCACGCCATTCTCCTACCTCAGCCTCCCGAGTAGCTGGGATTACAGTCACCTGCCACCATGCCTGGCTAATTTTTTGTATTTTTAGTAGAGACAGGGTTTCACCATGTTAGCCAGGATGGTCTCGATCTTCTGACCTTGTGATCCACCTGCCTTGGCCTCCCAAAGTGCTGGGATTACAGGCGTGAGCCACCACGCCCGGCCTAGTTGTTATTTTTAAAATGATTTAAATCTTCCAAAAGTCACAATAATGCAACACACACCTATATACCACATCCATCAACATTTTGCCACAATATTGCTTACATCATATATATGCATCTATCTATCCATCTATCTCTCTATCAATCATCTATCTATCTATCATCTATCTATCTATACATGCTTTTCAGCTGAACCATTTGAAAATTAGTTGCAGAGTCACCTCCCCCCTAAATATATCACTGCAAATCTCTTAAGACCAAGAGCATTGTCTCTACATAACAAAACAATTATGATACTTTAGAAATTTAACATTGATATAATACTATTTTCTAATATATGGTCTATGTTCAAATATTCATGGTTGTCACAATAATGCCCATTATAGCTGCTTTTTATTTGCTGTTTTAGTTTTAATTTTTAGGTCCAGGATCCAATCTAGGATCATACATTGCATTTTATTTTCTCGTCTCAGTATCCTTTAATTCAAGAATACTCTTCTATGCTTTTCTTCTCTTTCTCTCTCCCACAGGCTCTACACCCCATCACCATTCCTCCTCTTCCTCCTCTTTTGTCTCCTCTTCCATCTTCATTGTCTTTTTCATTTTTCCTAATGTAATGATGACATTTTGAAGAATTCAGGTCAATTATTTTACAGAATGATCCTAAATTTTAGCTTCCCTTATTATTTCCTTGCAATTAAATTGAGGTTAAACATTTTGGGCAAGAATATTGCACAGGTGCTTTATATTGAACATCTACTATGTGCTAGACACATAATATATACTTCTGACATAGCAGAATCACCTGTTGCAGCCTTTTAGAAACAGATGTTTAAACTGTACTCCAGACCCATAGTACTGGGAAGTTCAATGAATCTGGCATTCTATTTTATTTTATATTTTTTATTAAAAGAGGCAATTTATTTTTAGTTTGGGATTTTATTTATGTGCATATGTATTTACCTTAGCTTTTTATTTAAGCAGTTCCCAGCATGCTTTATAATGCACTCCAGAAAGCAACAGGAGCTTTGTTCAAGGGAAGCTGGTTTTTAAGCAAACAAAATCTTCCCAACCACTTTGGAGCTAAAACAAAAATTTTAGGTCAAAGCCCAGAGTTTCCCACTAGACTGGTTGAAACGACCATAACTTTTGAATGTTATCTTAATGATAATTGTTTATTAAATCTTTTGGCAGTTTATGTAAGCCCTTGATATCTGAAGTTGTGTACTATTATATAAGAAAATCAAGTATTTCTTTTTACCTTGTACACCATATTTTTAAAAACTACTTTATTGAACTATGATTGACATACAAAAGCTATACATATTTAATGTATACAGCGTGGTGAGTTGGAAACAAGCGTTTTAATGTGAGAATTCGTGCCTTGTGATTTGTTGGGCCTCAGTGAGAAGCTACCAGTTTTTCTCCTTGAATACTATTATAATGATTGTTGTTGCCTATTTAGATAGCACTGGCAGATAACCATGTTAATTAATGTCTGCAGCCCTGGTCTCTCTCCTAAGCTACAAAGGATGTTTTTGTAAAACTGGACACTTCCACTTTGATATCTACTTGGCAATAATGCAGCCCTACCTTCTCTTTCTCTCACAAACCTGCTTCTGCTCCTGGCTACCCTAATTCAGCAAACGGTACTACCTTTACCCCATTGTCTGCCTAATTCTTCAAGAGAAACCCAGGAATCCACCTGGTCTCCTTACCCTCTCCATGCACTCACATCTAACCTATCACCTGATAATTCTGATTATTTTGTCTCCTAACGATCTCATATCTGGCTGCTTCTCTCCATCCTCATCGAGACCCTACTCTCCTGGTCTCAACATCATCTCTCACTTGCGCTTTTGCTGTGTCCTTATAATTGGTCTTCCTTCATCCTTTTACTTTCCCCTCCCACCCATTCTCTACAGTGTAGACAGAGTGATATTTAAAAATATGAACCTGCTTATGCCACTCTCCTGCCCTATCAGTGGCTTCCCAATGACCTTAAGGTAGAGTTTAAAATTCTTACCTAACATGGCTTACAAGACCCCGTGTGATTTGGCCCTGCCCATATCTCCAGAGCCATCTCCAGTTACTCTCTGAATCTCTCATTCGCCTAGAGTCCATCGTGTTCCTTCCCCCTGCAGGACTTTTGCACGTGCTGGGGTTGATTACCATTTTGAACATTCCAGTACCCATGGTCCTCACACTCGCATGCCCTCCTCCCCGCTTCATCCAGCTACTTCTTATCTCGGTTTAAATGTCCCTTCCTCATGGAAACTTTCCCTGACTCCACAGATACCAGGTCTACCCGGTATACTCTCGTTAAACAACTCTTTGTTAAACATCTCTATGCAAGATCCACAAACCAGGAACCATATCTGCCTGGCTCATCACCATACAATGAAACGACCACACAATGCCTGGCACTTGGTATGTGCTAAATAAATATTTGGTGAACAAATAGATGAATAAATGAATAAACAAATGAGCAATCAGAGAATTTTGGGAGATGGGAAGTAGTGGTAACTAGGACCTAAAAAAGGCCCCATTCATTGGGGCTCAGGAGTGTCAGTCATCTCTGTTCTGCAAAGTAGTCAAGAACTACCAGAGGCACCACTCAGACTGGGAACAGAAATTTTCTAGAACATCCAGCTATCGGCAGGAGATCTGAAACAGAAGGGGAATGATTGTTTGTGTTGGGATCTAATGAAATATTAATGATAGCCTAAGTCCCACAACACCCTTGATGTTATGAAAATTCAGGTCTAATGTTAGTGTATGCGACAAAATTCAAATATTCAGTTTCATCCTTGAAAATCAATCCTTTGTCACTCATAAAGTATTACATATATAGTTTTGTGTATACAGCATTAAAATTTGAGCACTTCTGAGCTAGATTTCTTATTGCTTGTTACATTTTTATAAATCCTTGTTTGATTCTCTGTGGTTTATAGACTTTAAAAAATAAAAACACAGTCTTTAAAAACCCAAATGGGTTTCGGGTGAGCAGAGTAAAGGAAAGTGTATCCTACTCCAAAATTAATTTAGGGAGAGAGGAAGGCAACAGCTGTCAGTGGGAAAAATAGGAAGTGATTTAGGTAGTAGAAGAATCACATAAAGCATGAAACCTGTTTGATGGTTGTGTATTTTATAATATGTGTTTCAGAAAACTGTATCACTGCTATGTCAAACCCAGAATTTCACATACAGAGCTATATTGAAAAATAAAACAAAATAAGATTCTTTATAGAAAGAGTGCAGGTGGCCAGATAAGACCAGAATTTTGAAGCTGACATTCAAATAATGGATTCAAAGTGACACATCCCTGAAGCGTATGACTGTTTTCACTATAAAACATCAATTCTGGCCGGGTGCGGTTGCTCATGCCTGTAATCCCAATCCCAGCACTATGGGAGGCCGAGGCCGGCGGATCACAAGGTCAGGGTTTGGAGACCAGCTTGGCCAACATGGTGAAACCCTGTCTCTACTAAAAATACAAAAGTTAGCTGGGCGTGGTGGCAGGCGCCTGTAATCCCAGCTACTTGGGAGGCTGAGGCAGGAGAATCATTTGAACCTGGGAGGCAGGGGTTGCAGTGAGTCAAGATCATACCATTACATTCCAGCCTGGGCAACAAGAAAGAAACTCCATCTTAAAAAAAAAAAAAAAAAAGACATCGATTATATTCTTCTTCAGTTTTGTCTATATTCCCATACATTTGTATGGTACTACTTCTTCTATTTTTTTTTTTTTCTTTTTTGAGACAGAGTCTCTCTCTGTTGACCAGGTTGGAGTGCAGTGGTGTGATCTCGGCTCACTGCAACCTCCGCCTCTCAGGTTCAAGTAATTCTCGTGCCTCAGCCTCCCCTGTAGTTGGGATTAAAGGCATGTGCCACCACTCCTGGCTAATTTTTTGTATTTTTAGTAGAGACGGGGTTTTGCCATGTTGGCCAGGCTGGTCTCAAACTCCTGATCTCAAGTGATCCACCCTCCTCAGCCTCCCAAAATGCTGGGATTACAGGCATGAGCTATGGCCTGTAAAGTGCCTGGCCACACTTTACATTCTATGTGTGCTTTTATACACGTTATTTTTTATATAAACTTTACGTGGTATACAATACTTGATTCCCATTTTACAGATGTGGAAACTGAGGTTCCTGGAGGTTAAATAACTAGAATTTAGCTCTATTCTTTCTCTCTCTAGAATGAAATTATATAAAAAATATACAGTTAATATTTATTGAGAGGCTATCATGTGTCAGGTACTATTCTAGGAACAAGAAAAAGTCCCTGCCTTCATGGAGCTTCCATTTAGTAGATGCACCACTGGGACTCAGTGAAGGGCTTTGAGGTCAGTTCCAGTGCTCTTCCCACCCTCTATGTTCATTCATATCACAGCTTCAGCAAAGGGTAGGAGCCACAGAAACACATTAAATCTCATAGACTTGTACACCAAAAAGAGTGACATTCACTATGTGTATGCTATATATAATTTGTGTCATATGATTGTATATGTAATTTATTAGATGAATGTATGTAAAATATATGTAAAGCATGGGAGATTTCATTTTAAAGATGCAGTAGAAAGCAGTGACTGACTTTTATCTCACAAGAGAGCCACAACCCTCATTTCACCTTTCAACAGGGGAACAAGAAAGGTCGAGAATGTCGTTAAGTAAGAAGAGACAGCTACAGAGGAACCTTAATGACCAGACCCTGACAGTAGAATGCTTATGTAAGTGTAAGATCTTAGCTACACCCCATTTGTAGGAGAAAGTGAACTACTTTTAGAAGGCGCAGAAAGAAATCAAAGACGCTCTCTGGGAATAAGTGAAAAGGAATCATCGCTAGGACAAATGCTGAGCACAGAGGTGAAGCCTGTCGACTCAGGAGTCAGGTGCCCTGTAAGTGCATCCCCGAGCAGCTTCACCTCTCACTGGCTGGCTGTGACCTTGCACATGTGACTGGACCTCTCCAGACCCAGTCTCTTCATCTGTAGAAGAGAGGTGGTAATAATTTTCACCTTGTAGAGTTAATATGAGGATTAAATGATGCATTTAAAATTCTTAGAAGCACTTTATAAATACTAGCTGTATCCATAATTATCCCAGTATTCTACACTTTTACATGTACAGGGCTGCACAGTGAATACTGAAGCACAGAACAGAATGACACCCTTTGTAGGCATTGTAGTCTCTCCATCATCAAACACATTTCCGGTGATATTTGTCTTACTTCTCTTTCCAACAACTTCAGCAATAGGCAGGTGAGTTGATGCAGACATGTCATTCTAAGAGTCTAGTTAATTATGATATCATTATAATAGGAAGAGTTAGAATTCCCTGTCTATTTCATGCTAGCAAAACCTCCATTTTCTAGGCTTATTTTGTCCTGTGTATCTCACACACACACGAGTTGTTACAAAGAAAAAGATTCTCGTAAGGTTAAAGTGTTGAAAGAGTTCTCAAGGGTTATCTAGTCCATCTAAGTTTGGCTAATGTTCAGAATCACTTGAGGACCTTTTAAAACGTAAAATTCTTTCACCTTCAACCTAGAGATTCAGATTCAGTAGGCTGAAGCTGGGAGACAGGACTAGGTGTTTCTTTTGTTTGTTTTGAGATGGAGTCTTGCTCTGTCGCCCAGGTTGGAGTGCAGTGGCATGATCTTGTCTCACTGCAACCTCTGCTTCCCAGGTTCAAGCGATTCTCTTGCCTCAGCCTCCCAAGTAGCTGGTATTACAGGTGCCCGCCGCTGTGACCGACTAATTTTTGTATTTTTAGTAGAGATGGGGTTTCACCATGTTGGCAAGCTGGTCTTGAACCCCTGACCTCGGGTGATCTGCCCGCCTTGGCCTCCCAAAGTGCTGGGATTACAGACGTGAGCCACCATGATCAGCCCTAGGGCTGAGTGTTCTTGAGAAGCTCCTCAGGTGGTTTTGCTCTTAACTGAGCATTTGTGCACTACTGATGCAGCTACGCCTCCCTGACTGGCACTTGAATTGGTTCCTGCCTGAGTTACTCCTTCTGTTCTCCCTTCTCTACACTCGGTCACTTCCAGGAGAACGTGAGCTCCAAAGTCTGCCAGCTGCTTTAACTTTCCTTTCAGAAGTTGCAGAGTGCGGCCTTCTTTGAAAAATAAGGTCAAGGAGTCACAACTCCTACATTTGCAAACTTTTCCAAAGCTGTCCTTGACAGAGCTCCAAGTCCTTGGTGGTCCTGGTGGGGCTGTGTGAGTGCAGGTCAAAAAGACCTGAACTTGAATCCTGGCTCTGTCACACTGGGGCGAATGGTACCTCCTACCTTCTAGGTTGTGTGAGAGTTAAAAGAGATAATGCATATTTAAGGCAAACCACAGTACCTGGCTTATAGTAAGCACTCAACAAACCTTAGCTTGAATAAAATGAAGCAGCTTTAAAAAGCATCAGGAGAGCAGAGGAAAACTCCTTTCTCCTGTGCCAGTTTCTCCTCGGTCCCCTCCAGCTCTGAGACATCTTCCAAGGACTTCGCCGATGCTGGTTTTTCTTGACGTGCTCTCAGGTGATGACTGTTAAGTGTCTAACTTTAGCTGAGGCTTTTTTCTTGGTTGTTTTGCATATTTTAAAAAAGATATTGTTTAAATGGTAAAAATTGTTTGTGTGACTACAAAGAATATTTCATTCTGAGACTTGGGAGTATAGATTAAATAGATGCCTCAAGTAGATTTTCAATTATTCAGCCTTTTCTTATTTAATTAACTTATTGATCAAGCATCTTGTTTCTCTGAGTAGGAGCAGTGTCTCTTTCAGCAGGCGATTTTGTATCTTAGAAGTTCAAGACCTCTAGAGACATAGCCGATTTTGTATCTTAGAATATCAAGACCTCTAGAGACATAGCCAGCTTTTCTGCAGCTCTCTCCGTGGTGGGTCAGTCCTGCTGATGTGGGGAATTTGGCTCACAGCACAGCAATCTGTGTGTGTGAACAATATTGGACATTTCAACTGTGGGTTTGCCCTGGGGAAATACAAACAAGGAAAACTTAATGGGGCTCTAATTGGTGGGGCAATGTAGTGTAGAAGTTGTGGACAAGCCTGTCCATTAGAAAGCATAGAGCGATCTGAGAGCATACACAATTCGGCCCGGCTGAAATGTGGGGGCTGGGTGCGAGAGTGGCAGAAGGTGAAGCTAGAAAGGCTAGGTAGGCAATGACTGGATCCTGAAAGGCTGAGAGTCTCAGGTTGAGTTTATTTTATTGAGACAGGGGGCTTGCTATGTTACCTAGGCTAGGTTTTGAAATCCTGGCCTCAGGTGGACCTCCCACCTCAGCCTCTTGAGTAGCTGGGACTATAGGCATGAGTCACCACACTTAGCTCCATGTTAAGGAGCTTCGACGTTGTCTTCAGGCTGACAGAGAATCACGGAGGATTTTTGTTTTTCTAAGCAGGAGAGTGACATGGTCAGATTTGCATGTTATAGGATTACTCTGATGTTAGTGCAGTGCTTCTAGAACTTCAGTGTGCATGAGAATCATCTGGCAATCTTGATAAAATGCAGATCCTCATTCAGTAGGTCTGGGGTGCGACCTCCAATTTTGCCTTTCTTAATAAACTCTCAGGTGATACTGATGATGCTGGTCTGTGTTAATACTTCAATTACTGAGTAGAGTTAGGAATCACTTAAAGTTAAGCTTTTCTTAAACTTTAAGAGCATCACAATCACCTGGAGGGGTGGTTAAACCCAGAGTACTGGGCGTAACCCCTGCAGTTTTTGATTCAGTCACTCTGGGCCCTAACAGGTTCCCAGGTGATGCTGATGCTGGTGGTCTGGTGACCACATGGAGAACCACTGAAGTGAAGTGTTGATGGATGGAGAGTGAGACCTAATGGGAGGGGCCCAGTCAGGAAGCTGTAGCTGGAACCCTGGTGTAACAGGACCAGGGTCATACCTAAGGCAATACTACCGGGAATGGAAGAGAAAGGGCAGATTTTACTGCTAGGTGACATCAGCAGGGCTTGGTGACCGACCAGCTGTAGGGAGATAGGGAAGAGGGAAGAGTGACATTGGAGACCTTGTCCACTGAGCCGGTAGATCAGCAGGAACAGCAAGCTCAGGGTGGGCAGTGATTCATTCTAGAAATTCTGAATGTGCCAAAGAGGGTTGACCTGCGTGGAAAAGGGTGCAGTCGGGGAGATAAGTGTCTGCATATGGTACCAACCCTGCTGAAGCAAATTTGCCATGTGACTGCAGGCAATATATCTTCATGTGCTTCATTCTCTCTAACCACAAGATGAGGCTATTTTGCCTTTTCTCCTTCTAGGGATGAGGCAAGGCTTGCAATGAAGCATGCAAAGCATATTAAACCCGTACAAAGAAAGAGACATTTAATTACCAAGCGGAAGTTTCTGTCTTTTCCTCCCAGCCATCCAAAATTACATGACAACATGCCCACTATATTCTGGGAAGTAAAACTCTCAGCAAGAACTCAAAGCTGTGTGCTGTCTTCTCACCATGCCCCTCCCTTGGTAGTTTATTTGATGAAGTTTAAAAAAATATTTTACTAAAAAATTGTACATGACTCACCGGGACCTCTGTTCAAGATTTCATCAGGCAATATGGTTAGAAGGTCATGGTCATCATTCTTTGGGGTGCTTTGAAGGATTTTCTTGGCTTTATGGTCCCTTGGACTTTGCTTATTAATTCTTGCCTCTCCGTGAAGACTTTTCTTTAACTCCATTTGGGCCTGAAAATCATCAGCCATAAATGATCAATGTTCTTCCCAAGCTACTTTCACCAGAAGAGAGCAACAGATCAGCCACTTTGCAAGTTGTGTGCTTATCTGTAGACATCTGCAGTCCTCTAAGCAGAACGTGGTTTTCTTTTTCCTACTAGAAGGTATGGGAACTTTCTTTATTCACAAGCTTGTTAGGAGAAAGGTGAGTGTGCCCAGTCTCAAAAGGGTATGGCTCAATTAGGATGAGGCCCCTTACAAAAGCGTGTTTCTGTAGGCTAGCTGATATAATTGGAGTTGCAGAGAGCAGTAACTAAAGGCTTGTTTCCTAGAGGGAGAGATTTGGAATATGACAGTTACAGGCATTACTGGTAAAGGGTTTTCGTTTGTTTTTTTACAAGCAGTCTTTCTTGTTAGATAATTCTATGGCAACAATTATAGAGAGAGGTCTAGGTATCAGAATAAAGAACAACTCACCCCCTCCTCCTTTCACTAAACCAAGAAAAACGATCTAGCCCCATTTTCCTATGTCCAGAGTGTCATAGGAGCAAACTATTTTTAAAAATGGAGACTTGAGGCACAGATACGTCCTTGATAGGACTGAAAACTTAGAAAAGACTCAACAAGGTTATCAGCAGAAGGAATCTTCCTGATTCTTCTCAGCTTTAGTAGTTGAACTTTCAACCTCAGTGACTAGATTTAAAATGCTAAGTAAAGCCTAGGTATCTATGCTTGATATATTCATGTGGCAGGGCAGTGATTATGTGATGAAAATTTGGTAAATATGACACTCTTTTCTCTTCTCATATTTACCTCTTGTCTTTTACGAATCATTTCCAGCATTTGCATCTTATGCAAATATTGTCTGTTCTCAGAAGTATACATTGGAGTTTGCATTTTCTTTTCTAGTACCTGCTATGAAAGACAACACACTTGTTAGGATGGGATAATTTGTTACTGACTCTGCAATTCACAAGTTTACATCCTTCTTGAAACAGAGTGAGATCTTAATCAGTCATAACCCGTAGAGATATCTTGTGATGACAAAAGTGGACTATTGTATGCCCCTGACAAGTCCTTTGTGTCACTGTCAATGAATGAAGTGGCTCTTTGATATGTATATATGTAGTTTTTTAGGTTGCTGTAGAGTTTTGTAAACCTTAAATGGGAATATCTTTCCACATCTCATTTTTGACAAGATATCACTTCCCTTGTAAACAGATGCTTATTACTACTTATTACTAGTACTATCCCCAGAAATGTGTTCGGTTTGAAGAAACCTTCCTTTTTCTCCCTGCCTCTTCTACCATTGACTAATTGACTGGCTATGAAATGAGAGGGAAGCTGCTGAATGGTGAAATGGAACCTATTTCTATAGAGTGCATTTCCATATGCCAGCCTAAGCCTTGGAGAATATTGCAGTTTAGGGAGGATTTGAGGTTGATTATTTGTGACTCTGAACATCTCCCCGCTGGTGCATCATAAACTCCAGTGGGACAGTGCAGACAGTTATTGAGGGCAGCCAGAGGTGAATATACCTTCATTTGTCATTTGCTGTTGCCAGGAAAGGTGATGTGTTTGACAATACCTTTTGTGTTGCCGTGTGGATAGTGACTGTCAGCTGATGTGAACCTCAGGGAGGGGCCATCTCCGCAGATGCTGTCAGCACCACAAATGTGGGCTTGATTCTGACAGCACCTGGACATCTTTACCAAGTCAGCCAGCCACACAGCAGCACCTAGCTAGCTCCAAAACAAATTAGGAGTGGAAAGTGTTGAAAATCTGCTTCTGCCTCCCAGCTTTTATTTCTATGTGAGGGGAGTTCTAGTCAACAGAACATTACAAGTGCAAAGCAGGGAAAAGATACACAGAAGACATTTCTCAGGATTAATTTTTGGTGAGGTTGTGGCAAATAAGTCAGGAATAACTTGTAGATAAGATTTCTCCTGCAAACAGAGCAAAGAGGATGTTTTAAACTGAGGGGAGGAATGAAAGGAAGGACTTATGCTGAATTTTTCAGAGATTTGAAAACTTCAGAATCACCAATTTCTAAGTAAAAGTCTTTTCTCATCTACATTGCCCTGTTTTCAACACAAAACAGAAAAGGGCGTAGAGCTCATGCAAGAGGTAAGAGCCACTGCCAGTTGGAGGCATGCACAGAAGAGAATAAATAGCTTTGAAAAGTTCTCACTCTGAATGACTTAACAGTTTGATTTGTCTTTGAACTCCTCCATGCAGAGAGTGCATGAAAGGACCAGTGTGCTCCAGTGCCCCAATCCTGTGTCGCCCACCCCTAGTTCACCTCCCTGTCAGGTTACTGCTGCAGCTCACCTTTGCTTTGTGCATTGTCCTGGCTTCTCGCTGGCTCAGGAGTCTTCCTGAAGTAATTACTCGTGGCAAGTTGACGGGTTCGAGCTTCTAGAAGTTCAACGTTTAGAGCAGTCAGCATTCCTCATGCCATGAGATGATGAAACACAAAAGCCAGACATTAAACTATCTTAACACTTTGCAAAAGCGGCACTTATTTCTGAGAGCATACAGGAAAGGTGGTTCCAACAGCATTACAGTTATATTGGTGCAAAAGGCTTTTCAACCTATCTGGGTTCTTTATTATTCTAGTGCACTGTAGACAGTGCCTTATTGATCTAAGTACTGGTCAGAGAGTTAGGAGACTAAGAATCCTCTTCTGTCTGCATTGAGGGACCATGTCCAAAGTTATCAAACCACCAGGATCTTAGAATATTAGAGATAAAAGAGGCACTAGGAATTTATTTTATTTCACACATTCCTTAGGTACCCAGCTGAACTATTCCAGCCCTTAGGGAAGCAATCTGTTTTTAAGATCTCTAGAGAAGCTCCTTAGTAGTAATCACTGGTGACTATGAGACACATTTAAAATGAAACTGCAGTGTGCTAACACATTTTAGAGATGTCTTTTTCTAGAAGGGGCTTGGCTTGATAGGGGAGATATGTTGGAGTTTCAGGGGGTCACTAAGACTGGGCAGCAATTCATGTCAGCCGGTCTGCCTCCAGCCCTTCTTGCCTTAGAAGCTGAGCACTGAGAAGTGATCAAGCAGGTCTGGGAGACGAAGGGTAGTCTCTTCACATTGACATGCAATGGGGAACGTGGAGGACCACAGAGTTTATCTGTTCCTTCAGTGAGTACTTAATGACTGCTACAAGCCAGACATAGGGAGGCAACGGTCAGCAAAAATGGACATGGCCCCTCATGGAGCTTACAATCTATGTGTAATAGATGTGCTTTTGCTTGTGTGATTATTCAAGTGATAATTACAAACTGTGGTCAGTGCTTTGAAGAAAAAATCTGCAGGGCAGAACTATGATGCTACATAACTGAAGGACTCCACCTGAAAAATAGGGTGTGTTAGGGGTTGAACTGTGCTACCCCACAAAATTCATATGTTGAAGCCTAGCCCCTCCATACCTCAGAATGTGAATTTATTTGGAAATAGGGTCATTGCAGATATAATTAGTTAAGATGAAGTCATACTGGAGTAGGGCAAGCCCCTAATTCAATATGATAATGTCCTCATAAAAAAGGGGAAATCTGGACGCAGACACACACACAGGCAGAACACGATGTGAAGATGAAGGGAGAGGTTGGGGTGATGGTTCTTCAAGCCAATGAACAGCACTGAAGAGTGCCAGAAAATTACCTAAAGCTAGAAGGGAGTCATGGAGCAGACCTTCCTCACAGGCTTCAGAGGGAACCAACCCTATGGACACCTTGACCTCAGTCTTCTAGCTTCCAGAACTGGGAGACAATACGTTTGGATCATTTAAGCCACCCAATTTGTGGTACTGTGTTACAGCCTTAGCAATCTAAGGCAGGAGGGAAAGGGCTAGGGAGGCAGTTCAAGAAAGTGCTTTAAGGTAGTACCTTTTCAGTAGAAACGGACAGATTGGGAGTTTTTAGGGGACTAAGGTGTGCCATAGCCCTGAGGTGGGGAGTGATCATGATCTGTTGAAGGAATGGAACGAAGTCGGTTGGCTGCAGTTTAGAGTAAGTGAAACAGCAGCTTGGAATGAGCTGGGGAGGTGAGGCAGGGGCCAGGTCATGTAAGGCCTGACAGGCCATCAAGATAGTGGTCCCTTAAGAGCAGTGAGAAGCCACTGACATGTGTTAAGCAAAGGAGTGACATGATTACCTTTGCTTTTTAAAAAAAGGTCACTCTGGCTGCAGTATGGAAACTAGAAAGGAATAATTATGGATGTGGAGAGATCAGCTAGGAGGACAAAGATGATGGGCTAGGGTTGAGAGAGGGAAATTGATGATCTCTACAAATGTTTAAAGCTGACCAAATGAGATTCATTATGGTTAGTAAATGGGAATAGAGTCCACAGAACAAGGAATGGAGGGTGTTATACCCTGTGATGGGCAATCCAGAGGAAGACCTAGTTTGGCTGGGATGTAGAAGGAAAATACAAATTTGGTGTGCAGTAGATTGAGTTTGAGACACCTTTGAGACAGGCTAGTGTAGCTGTTGAGTTATACAGGGAGCTTGGGAGGAGAGGTCTGTGCTGGAGACTTTGGGGAATAATCCCAGAGTAGAGCATGAGTGAAGCCAAGGTCATGGTAAAGGTCAGGAGTGAGAAGAGGAGAGCTAAAGACTGCAGACTCCAGGAGTTCCAGTGGTGAGGCTGGTGGCCACGAATAAGCTGGCCAAGGAGACTGGGAAATGATGGCTCAAGAAGTAGGAGGAAAACCATGAGGACATCATGCTGCAGCAAAGAGTGTGAGCCCTATTCCCACCTTAGTTCACTGCTGAAGGCACATGCTAATTTACTTTAAAGTGGTTAGTTTTGGTGTGATTTGTTGCATTATTAAGAGGTACATTTGGAAGTCAACTTGGCTTTCAAGGTGACCAGGAAAAAAGGAGCGAGTGGACCAAGGAAGATAAATACTGGATAGTCAGTACTTGTAATGGGGAACATGACCTGTGTCCACCACTACTTCCCTGTACAACCACTTCTAGGTCCCTGGTCCTGGACTGGAGAGCACCCAGCAGTCCTTTCTGCTGGAGCACCCCAAAGTAGACCTGGTAAGGAAGAGAAGAAGGGCAAAGAATGTGGAGACAAAGAAGAGACAACAAGGGGAAAGAGCTCATCTTTATGTTAGATATGTGCCAGGTAATAATTTGCATTTGTGGTGGGAAGTGGTTCTCTGTTCCATTCTCACCTCAGAGCAGGAAGTGGGTCTTTTTAGCATAACTTAGCAAAGATGTAATGAGAGGAGATCAATCCTAGTAAGAGGAGTTTGTTCCCCTGGCTCTTAACTCTGCAGGACATAAAGATGCAAAGCAAATGGGACCTGCTGGCACAAGAGGCAGCTGCTGATCAAGTCAGAACACTGCAAGAAAAGTGGAAGGAGAGGAAGGGGAGGAGAGGCCAAGGGAGAGGAGCCCCTCAAGGCACCTATGGGAGGAAGAATCAGGAATGACTCAACGGGGATTTCTGGAAGCTGGGGAGAACAAGTGTTTGTGCCATCTTCTGGATATGGAGAGTGTTCAGGATTTGGTTCTTTCTTATTAGGTCTATATGCCTTTGCAGCCATTACTGCATGCCATACCCAGGGTTATAAATATGTAATCTCATTCAATCCTCATGTGAACTCCGTGGATAATTATGATGATTCCCCATTTCAGAGAGGTTGCTGACTTGTCTAAGGTTGAACAGTTAGAAAGTGGCATCTCCATGATTCAAGCACAAGTGTGTCCAGCTCCAAATCTAAACCTCTTTTCTGCACTATATGTTCTCCAGAATGGTTATCTCAGACTTTTCTGGCATTAAAAAAGAAGAAATTCTTGGCCCATTCACTAGAGATTGAGATTCAACAGGTCTGGGGTATATCCTGGAAATAAATATTTTCACAACTCTCCCAGGGATTCTGATGATTTCTTCCTAGGTTGGGGGCCACTGACTTCCACATTGCCTTAAGTGAACAAAGGAATGACATCAAAATAGACTACAGAGGATCTTTTTTTGTGGAATATTTTTGAAAAATTGAGTCTGAAAAAGCCACGAATTTTTAGTTTTATTAAACTCATCTATCCATAAATTCATAGACCAAGTTTTTGCTTTGCTAGTATAAATATGTAGTTATCACAGATCTCTTTCTTCTATTTTCAGTGTTTCTATTTAAACACACAATTCTAATAAGGCTTCAGTGGTAGATATCTGCAAGAACTCTCTCCAGGTTGAGTTTCTCCCTGGCCGTTGAGAAGAGCCTAAGGAATCACACTATTCCTTCACAAAAGCCACTAGATGGCAGCAACTAACATTGCAACTGGGATCTCTTCGTTAAATCATTTACCACTTGATTTGAGAAGCACTGCAGAAAAAATTGTTGGCGAAATTGGCTTCAGCTAAATAAACCAGTCAGATGAAATTGCCTCAGAATTCTGGGTTTATATGCATGTTCCTTTTCCCTGCCCAGGAAGTGAGATGCCTCACTTCATCATCTTCAAAGAGAACACAATGGAAGGAACTACTAGAGAATCAGTTAGAATGACACCTTATTTTCATTTTATAATATAAGTATCATTTGTTTAAAGACTTCTGGATTATTTGACTTCTCAAACAAAACAAATGGTCAGCATTATCAGTTGAAGTGTCTGCTAGGAGATTTGGGAATCTAGTGAAGGGCCAGCGGACTCAAGAGTGCTGACATGGGAGTTGCAATGTCAATTGATTGGTCGGGGTGAGTCTTATAGGGACAGTGAGATTTGAAGAAATATTTGAAGATCAGGGAGTTATCCAAGGAGATCATCTGAGGACACACTATATGTTGGGGGGGAAACACTTCCAATTTAAGCTAGAAATGGATGCATAAGAAGGTGATCAGGCCAGAGGGGTCAGTGCTAATCAACTCTTCAATAAAAAGGCCCATTTGATTCAGAGTTCCCTGGCAGAGGCTCTCAGAGCCTCTCAGCTCTAGGTTGGATAATGCTAGTTCATGACTGGCTCTTTATTTGAGGAGTAGATGTTTAGGAAGTAGAAGGTGCCAAAAATATAACTCAAATAATTTAGCATACAATTAGATTTGGTTTAATAATTAAAAATACTTTTAGAATTTTCTTTGGCAGAAATTAGGCTATTAATTAGCATGTCATGAGGACCCAGCATGTATTATTCTCTCAAAACTCATTTGTGCTTGAAAATGTGCTGAGCTTCATTTGTGAAGATAATTATAGCTGATCTCTTTGGGAATGTCTGCCAAGTTTCTAGTGATTTCCCTCCTCTCTGGGAGCTGACTCCAGAGTCTATAGGGGAGACTCCTCTACCCACATATCTACTGCATGAGTATATCCTCTGGCCATAGCTCATTGGACCAGAGCTGAAATCATGAGCAAAGATGAGCCTATATCTTTTCTCCTAGGAATCTGGAATTGGAGTCAAGAAGGCCCATCTGTCCATTTGACTGGAACTGTAAGATACAAGCTCAGGGTGGCCATATTTCATGTGTACCTACCTGAAGAACAGAGAAAACTCATCTTTGGTGAGAAAGAGTATAGCAAATGCACAGAGAAGAGCTTAGGAATTGAGAGAGCTCTGCATTTCAGGTTCCAAGGTATAATTCTTCCCTGAAGCTTAGGTGTCTCCCAGATCTTTGGTTCAATAAAGCATTCCTATATCCTTCAAATTAATCATGTTAGTTATTTTTGCTAGTCAATGAGACTTCTAATACAGTCGTGTTACAGTGATGGTACAGACTTCTAATACAGTGATTACAGATCTGCAATAGCAGGGAGTGCACTTTGAGTGCTTTATCCTTCCTCCAGCAGGGATGATGGGTCTCATTGTCATTCATTCACTCATTCATTTTACTCACAAACTTTTGTGGATCTCATATTAAGTATTAATGGCTGAAGACATAAGATTGAATAAGACATAGTATTTGCAACCTACAGAATGGGAGAACATTTTTTGCAATCTATCCATCTGACAAAGGTCTAATATTCAGAGTCTGCAAGGAACTTAAACACATTTACAAGAAAAAAACAACCCCATTAAAAAGTGAGCAAAGGACATGAACAGACACTTCTCAAAAGAAGACATACACGCAGTCAACAAACATATGAAAAAAAGCTCAACATGACCGATCATTAGAGAAATGCAAATCGAAGCCACGATGAGATACTGCCTCACACCAATCAGAATGGCCATATTAAAAAGCCGAAAAACAACAGATGCTGGAGAGGTTGTGGAGAAAAAGGAACGCTTTTACACCATTGGTGGGAGTGTAAATTAGTTCAACCATTGTGGAAGACAGTGTGGTGATTGCTCAAAGACCTAGAGGCAGAAATACCATTTGACCCAGCAATTCCATTACAGGGTATATACCCAAAGGAATATAAATCATTCTATTATAAAGATACATGGATGCATATGTTAATTGCAGCACTATTCACAATAGCAAAGACATGGAATTAACCTAAATGCCCATCAATGATAAACTGGATAAAGAAAATGTAGTACATATACACCATGGAATACTATGCAGACATGAAAAGGAATGAGATCATGTTCTTTGCGGGTACATGGATGGAGTCAGAAGCCATTATCCTCAGCAAAACTAACTCAGGAACAGAAAACCAAACACTACATGTTCTCACTTATAAGTGGGAGCTGAACAATAAGAACACATGGACACAGGGAGGGGAACAACACACACTGGGGCCTGTCAGGGTTGGTGGAGAGGGAGAGAATCAGGAAGAACAGCTAATGGATACTGAGCTTAAGACCTAGGTGATAGGATGATCTGTGCAGCAAACCACCATGGCACATATTTATTTATGTAACAAACCTGTACATCCTGCACCTGTATCCCTGAATTTAAAAGTTGAAGAATAAAAAAGGCATAGTCTTTGCACTGAAATAATTCATTTGTCTTGATTTTTTGTTTTTAAGATGGTTGGTTAGGGTGTATGTGTATGGAGGTGGTGGTGCAGTGTTTGACTCTGAAATACCAATGTTCTCTCTTTGACCTTGTTTGACTATTGAGAAAATCAAAACTTAACCTCCTTTGTTTAGGATTGATAGATATAAAAAGTACTTGTGAGCTATAAAGTACTAGACAAATATTTTTCACTAGTCAGAGTAATATCTTCTATTTGAACTAATCAGCTTAGAGCCTTCACGGAAACATGTATTAAACACACTCCTTTGAAAGGAAGTATTTGATTTAGGAATAAAATATCTTTTAAAACTGTCCTGTTTACTTAGAGGATTTGTAAAAACTTGTAAATGAGATATTAATTTGTTATATTTCATTTTATTTTTCTTTAAAGAATAATTTTGTAGTTTCTAATATTTTGGGAAAAAATACTCTTTTGAGACAAAATGATATAATCACTTCAAATAATGGCTGTGAGCTTCTGCAGAAGACAGGTAAAGAAAAACCAACTGAAACAGAAATAATCCCCAACAAATGAGCTCCAGTACCTCTGGGATTGGTCCAGGCATCTGGGTGAATTGTGTAGCAGGTGGGATTTGGCTTCAAATGTCAGTGATAGATCGTGCTCACAAGAGAGCCCTAAACTCTCCTTCCAATGATGCTCATTTTCAAGGACCACTCTAAACTACCCATTCCCTTTCTAGGTTGAGAGTTCTTAAAATGTATAGCTATCTACAGAGAACCCATTAAATATTTATTAAGGTGAATGTGTTTAAAGCTCTTGCTTTGCTTCCTTGGAATCCAATGTCCTGAATTTAAACAACCAGTTAACATCTAGAACAATAAAAGGTTAAAGATAGAAGAACTATAGAAATTACTTACGCTGATAGTTAGGAGTACAGATTTTGGAGACCTGGTTGCTATCTGACCTCTGTGAGTCTTTGGGGGTAGTTACTGAACTCTCTGACTAGCATGTATAAAACAAAGATAATTCTTCCTTTTCATAGATGGCTAAGAAGATTAAATAAATGACAGACTGAATTGCCTGTTATAGTATCTGACTTGTAGTAGGTATAGTAGGTATAATTAAATAGTAGTAGCTGTTATTATTTATTACAAGTTGTTTTCCCATAGTCACCCAACTAATTAGTGCTAGATTCAAGCCTCTTGAGTTGCATCATACCTATGTCCTTGCTACTAAACTTGCTTCTTTCGGTGGCCGGTCTTAAAAGCAAAATCATTGCTAAAGGAAAATCTTAAAGTAATAGAGTATTTGTGACTGATTACATTTTTCTTTAAGAACATTCTCATTAATAGCTTGGTCATTATCAATGTCCCTCTTTGATGATTATAGTTTAAAAAGGGATGTTACCATTATATCCAAGAAATTCCTTATGATGCCTTTTAAATTCATCTTACTTGAAGTCTTTGGGGTGGATGCCTTTTAATAATACTTGTTTCTCTGTGTTCCAGTGGGATGTCAAAATCCACGTCTCTGGATGCTTGAAGGATTGGAGAAGAAACAAGAATAAAACATTAAATATAATTTACTATTAGATCAGGTAATCATTAGTTACTAGACTTTATCAACACAATTTTGTACCTTTCCAGTTATATATGTCTAACCTGTAGGTTGAATGTGGAGATGAAACACAGAAAGCAGGGAACCTACATTAGTGCAAATGACACTGTTTTAGTCTAGACTTGGGATTTAATATCTGCTCTCCTAACTTCCTACTCAGGTTCATATTTAGGGGAAGAATTACAAAATTACCAATATGTTGACTGCAAATATTTTTCAAACAGAATTTGGCCTGGAAAATAGAAATTTATTCACTTGTTTTAATTCCATAAAATCTCCTCACCGAAATATAAGACATCAGAAAAATATATAACTTTAAAAAATAAAAATAATCTTCTTAGATGAAATAGATGATAGATAGATAGATAGGTGATTATACAGAGATGAGACAGAAATGGAGTATGTGTGAACACAATTCAATAGCCCCTTTAGTGAAAAAAATTTCCACAGGTTGCCACTATAATACAGCATATCAATATTCTTTCCTGATGAAACAAGCCAGGGATACAGAGTTAAGCCTCTATTAGGAAACAGAGAGGCTCAACAGATCCATTATGGATTTTATTTTCCAGCTTGATTATCCTGAGCTCTTGGGAGTGCTACCATAACCAACGCTGCATGAGTGCAGTTCTTGTCCTTCCCTTTTAATAATCTGGACACATTCTGATTTCTAGATTGTTTCATAGAGTATTTTACAGTCCCACTTTGCATTTTAAATGGAAAAATCCATGGATAATTATGCATCTTTCTCTTTAAGACATGTGAATGACCGCTTTAAGGACTTTGTTCTCTCTGACTTTTAGTGGTATGCAAACTATGTCCTTATTTTCTTTTGAAAAGATGCCAGCATATTGAGCAGGATGGAAACAACAAACATATTGGATTTAAAAATGTAAGTATTTTCAGCTATTTTTTCAGAAATCTTACTAATCCTTATTTTTTTATTTTAGTGATGTTAGTCCATTATTTAATTAGATTCTCCTCAAATGGCATAGGCTGTGTCAAGCATTTATTTTTACCCCTGATTACAAGTGAAAAAAATTGATGAAGTAACTTGCCCAAGGTCGTTCGATTTGGTATTTGATGGAGCTGCGGTGAGAATATGGGAGATCATCATGAGAATCCTCATGATCTCCTTGTTATTTATTTTCAATGTGATTTTGTCACTTCAGACATAAGCATATTTTCCAGTTGGGACTCTAAAGCACATGAATCAGCTTTCACCATTTATTCAGTTACCTAAATCTTTTTTTTTGAAACAGAGTCTCTCTCTATCACCAAAATCTTAAAACTCTCAATGGGGATTTGGATAAAAAGGGAATTCCTCAGTAGGAGCATTGCATACTCTTAGTGCACATTCACGCTCCATTTTTTAAATCGTGTCTTGTCACCTATTCGTCTGTCATAAAAAAATTCCTAAGGGGAAAATTCCCATCTATGTGCTTAAGAACTTGAAGACCATAAAGAACATAAAAATAGGCCATATAGAAACAACCAAAGGTTATCAATTCTGCAGACAGTAGACATGAAAAATCATTCCAGGCAAGATTTGCTAGGTACCAAAAGAGAATGTGAGGCTTTCTGAACGAGGCATCCAATAAGGGAAACTTATTTGTGTTATTGATCCAGAAGGTGAAGGAAAGGGAAAACAATATACATATGCATATATATATATATATATAAAATAAACATATATTTTTCTAAGTGAGGATGTCTGTTTAATTATCATTGTGGTCATGATAAAACATTTTACATGGCTTATAAAATATTCCAGGATAATTTATAGCCACTTCAGGCTCAGAGCTTCCAATCATAATGGGAAAGGATTCTGTTAGTTCTGCAGATGACCATGAAGAATGTGGGGTTGGGAAAAGGGTGACTCATCCACTCCAATGTACTGTAATAAATCAATTCTGTTTAGGGTGGTTTCAAAATTCATGTTAGAATTAACTCACTCTTAAAGTGCTGCTTTCAAAACCACAAAGCCCGGTGCATAAAACTATACTGGAGAGAATGATTTAAATTTAGAATTTAACTGAAATGTGATTGCTATCATTTATCACATTAGTATCTATATAATTTTAATGGTCTGGCAAAGCTAGGTATAAATATTGAAAGCATTACAAACTGAGCTGAAACAAAATGATTTATCCTTCTCATATGGAATGGTGAAAAGCCCTTTGTACAGTTTATACTCTCATTCTAATGCACCCAGAATACTTTCAATTGACATTCAATCCTCATTGAAAGATTTGTTTGAGTTTTCAAAGATAGCCTAAATTCCTCTACATTTCAGTAATTTAGAAACTTTCTGAGATCATGGAGACAGTCAGATAAATCTATTAATAATGCTCCTTGGTCCAGATACACACATCTCATGCTGGGTTTTATGTTTACCTGCAGAGTATCTTCCATACCAGGTTTCTTGTAAAGGTGGCAGCTGCCCTTCCAAGGCTTTATTCTGGTCCTGCAGTCTTGCCAGTGAATGTGAAGTCTTTTCTTCCAAATTCTGATTGAATGCAAAGTCCACAGGGCCAGCTGAGGGAGTCTCTACCTCTTTGTTTTGCAAAGGTGCTACTTTGATCACCCTCTGGTGAGTCTTAGAGTGACTCAGGCCCATTTCATGTGAAAGACATTCAGAGGAAAACTGCGAGGAAAGTGGTTTTAGGGTCTTTAATATAGCTTGTTTTAATCAGGGCATTTCAGAAGTTTACCCTGGCTTTACAAAGCAGTCATTTCCTTCATGGCATCCTTCTAGCTCTGTTTCACTGCACACTAACCCTTTTGGCCACTTCCTGGGAGGCTGGTTTCCATGGAGACTTCCCTTCAACTTTGCCATTTCAGACCCAAAGAATCCAGTTAAACATTGACTTGGTTATGCTGCTTTCTGAAATACTCAGTGATAGGAATAGAAGCCACTATTGATCATTAAACAAATATCTAACACCAGGAAGGTTATTAACATAGAGAGAGATATAGAGCAGAGGTTTAGAGAAGTCTTAAACTTGACGCTTTCATTGCAAGCACCTTTGTAAAAAAACTAACAGCTGAGAATAGCTAAGCCATCTTTGCAACTAAGAGGATGCATGCTAATTACCAAGGCTTTGTTAATCTTTAATTTAATTGAAGAATTTATCCTCCAATTAGGAAAGAAAGCAGCGGAGTGGCTAAAGCGTCATTTGATTTTTCTGTTGATGACTTGAGTTGCCTTTGAAGGGGATGAATACATTGCAGGACAGGAGGATAATAGAAACTTTTTTCCTGGGGATGAGGGGAAAAACTTCTTAAACATAAAAAGATAGCCTATTTACTATGTTTTTAAATTAAATTAAATTCATTTATTTATTTTTGAGACAGAGTCTCACTCTGTCACCCAAGCTGGAGTGCAGTGGTATGATCTTGGCTCACCACAACCTCTACCTCTCCAGTTCAAGTGATTCTCCTGAGTCAGCCACCCAAGTAGCTGGGATTACGGGCACCTACTACCACCACACCCATCTAATTTTTGTATTTTTAATAGAGAAGGGGTTTCACCATGTTGGCCAAGTTGGTCTCAAACTCCTGATCTCAAGTGATCCACCTGTGTTGGCCTCCCAAAGTGTTGGGATTACATGCATGAGCCACAGTGCCCGGCCTATTATGATTTTTAAAGTAGAAAAAAGACTAGAAGGAAATATGCTGAAATATTGAGTAGTGATTTTTGAATGGTGGGATTATGGGTGATTTTTATTTTATTCTTTATACTTAGAATTGGGACTAACTTTCAAGCTCTAATTGTTCATGACCACAGATTACTTGTGTGTTCATCACATCTCCATAGAGAAATTAAAAGAAAATGTATTTTTCATCTTTGCAGAATCCATTTCCTAAGGGACTAAGGTGGTGTTTGGAAAGTCTTGGTAGACAATCACATTTATCTAAAAAGATGCCTGAATTTAGTTTTTTCCTTATTCCCTTTGCATTTTCCACATCATTTTCTCTGCAGCAGAGAGATTTATAAGTAAAGACTAATATATTAACAGTATCTGCAAACAAAACAACTTTTGGTAAACAGACTAGTTTAATTACAAGGATAAAAATACTTGAACAAGGTCTAGTAAGATTTATTTTTGGGTACAATCAGTTTAATTATTTCTAAGGGCAGAGGAATGTATTACAAACTAACAAATGAACTAGACATTGTGCTGAAAACTGTGGACTTCATGGATCTGGACCAGTAAGAGGGATTCAGCTCTTATGTTTTGTTTTATTATTATTTAATTTTCAGACAATATTTGTGGAGAACATGAGCCTTTGTTGAGGAAATTGGTTAGTCATTGAAGGAATGATTAAAGAAATAAAGATGCATTTCTGTGTTTCTTTCTCTTTTCATTACTAATGACTATCAAGCTTTGTGACTTTCCTGATCTGTGAAATGGGGTTAATAATAATACTTTGTGGGAAATGAACCTGATTCCATTTATAGCACTTAGAATAACACCTGACATGTAGTAAGCTCACAGTAATCATTAGCCAGTATCCTCCTCCTCTGAGGAAGTATTGCTACATATCTACATGTGCATAGGACAGTCCTTGTTGCCAACCGGTCAGAAATTAAAACAGACATATTCCTGTCTAAAGGAGTTTGCCGCTAGGTATAGAAAAGACCAATGAGGGAAGGGTAAATTAATCTGGCCAATGTTACTGGGAAAACCACCATGTCTAAGGATTATCATGAGAAAATATTCATACGCTGAAAGGATTTTGTTAAAATGATAGTGAAACATTTAAATTTTATGAAAAGAGAAAAAGGAGAGTTTAATTTCACTTATAGAGTTAGATATAAGATGTAATTTCTTATTGCTAGAGTTGTAAAACATTAAAAAGCTCTCACCCAACTAAAACCTTGACTACTTCCCAAACACTTTATGATACTTTATAATGACCACTCCCTAGTTCAAGAATGACTGTGACTATACATTATTGTGTTTAAAAATGATAAAATATGCTGTTATTTGTAACAGTCAGAATTCATGAACATGGAATGAGAATATTAATTTATAAAACTCTTAAGATGAAGCTCAGAAGGGATTAGCTAAAGTTTTCTAAAGCTGAAGATAGTGTCCAGAGAAAAATGTATTAAGAGAAAGTGGTGAGGCCCCAGAGGAGATGGGGAGGAGCAGGAACTCATAGCCAAGTGTGCTATTTCTGCCAGGAAGAATGAAAGCCCTCAGCCTGGAGCAGCTCCACAGGCAATGTGACCTTGAAGTTCCCGAGAAATAGCCGTGTACAAGCTCCAAGTGCTTGGACCTTTCTTGCCTTCTGTAGAAAATGCCTTCCTTCAAGACATGGAGTGAACCAAGCAGGAAGAAGGCAAAATATAATGTCTATTTCCAAATATACATTCATTTTGAAGTTAAAAATCTTAGCTTTTGTTCTGGGTTCACTCCTAACTAGCCTTGGGGGCAAAACTATCAAGCAATCTTGTTTAGTGAATATAAGTTCTATAGAAACTCAATACAAATTCATTATGAGATATGTGGATTTTTCTGCTAATAACAGAAAGTTTTACACTTGAATGATGGGAGGCAAGATCCAGGTCTTTAAATGTGAATTTAGTATCATACTTAAGAGAGCAGGTGTTCTCTAAGTTTCCTTACAACCTCCTACAGCTTGATTTACACTGTAATATCTACTCAGAGCCAGTACAAGGAGAGGAGCTTTTCTTCCTGTGTGGAAACATTACCTATCTTTTTCCATCAGATTGTGATGTAATAGCTCTTGCCTTAGTTTTGATGGATTTCTCAGAGTCAGCTACAATCTCCTTCCCCATACCTTGGTAAGTTGACTACGTGGAGATAAGGAAAATGCCTGGGATGAATAAATTTATCTATTTTCTGCAGGTAGCTTACCAGCTAACAGGAATTCGTGACTGCAGTAGCACTATGTTCTGAGCAGCTACCTAGAGAAAACCATGCAAACGCTCAAGGAATAGTAAATCTTAAAGTTTAAACAACCTAATATTGGACAAATGAGTTTCTTTTTTTAATGAGCTGTGGGTAATTTCATCTGGATGTTTTATGTTAAGCAAGTGACAAAGGCTAAGGTGATATTCCTTAGGATTGGATGGTGGTAGTCTGGAGTCGGGTTGGTTGAATTGCCTTTTGATCCTTCAGCATACAGTTTTCTTGGAAAGGCTTCAGAAGGGATTTAAATCAACGTGTATATAAATATTCCATACGGTTGGACTTAATTCAGTTAGTGGGGCTTAAATTCTAAATGTTTATAGGGTTCCTAAATTATGCTTCTAATAAAGTTACAGTCTTTTTCTGCAATTGATCTGTAATGGATAAGCAATCACTGGAGGCTTTTCAGCAGCAATGTGAATTATAGGTTTGGATGCTAACTAAGCAGAGCTGATGTATGACCCGAACCTTAATTTTCCTTCCAGTGATTATTTTCCTCCCTATTTATTTATATATTGATGTAAAGGTGACAGTGTAATCAGACATACTGGGTTTGGAAGTGCTCAAGCAAAACAAATGGGAAAAGTGTGAACTGAAGCGTCTTGTATAAACTCTTACATGAGATCAGTTGCATATGATTTGTATCTTTACCCTTTGAATGCAATCTGCAAGTGCATCATTGAATGAGATGCTAAAATCATGCCTTCATACACTATACTACTCTGAAGACAGCCAGTGCATGGGTTTCTTAAAATGTATTGCCAATGGATTTAACCTAGATAAAATAATATTTGTAGATTGTATGTCTAAAAGGAACATCAACCTTTGGTTATCACAATCCTTTTTATTTTTAAAATTTTTATTTTTAATAGACAAATACTTGTGAATGTTTATGGGGTATAATGTGATGTTTCAATACATGTATACCTTGGAAGTGATTAAATCAGGGTAATTATATCCATCACCTCAAATATTTATCATGTTTTCTTAGTAAGAAGATTTAACGTCTTCTCTTTTAGGTATTTTGAAATATACATTATTAACTGTAGTCACCTTGTTGTACAATGGAACACCAGAACTTATTTCTCCTAACTATAACTTTGTGACCCTTGACTGATATTTCATCTCTCCCTGTCCATTCCCTATCGCCTCATCCCCCAACTCCACCTCCCCATCCCCAGCCTCCGGCAACCACCATTTTAGTCTCTACTTCTAGGAATTTGACTTTTTAGATTCCACATACAAGTGAGATCATATGGCATTTGCTTTTCTTTCTTTTTCTTTTTCTTTTTTCTTTTTTTTTTTTTTTTTTTAGAGTTTCGCACCTGTTGCCCAGGCTGGAGTGCAATGGTGCAATCACCACTCACTGCAACCTCCACCTCCCAGATTGAAGCAATTCTCCTGCCTCAACCTCCCGAGTAGCTGGGACAACAGGTGCCTGCCACCATGTCCAGCTAATTTTTTGTATTTTTAGTAGAGATGGGGTTTCACCGTGTTGGCCAGGCTGGTCTCGAATTCCTGACCTCAGGTGATCCACCTGCCTCGGCCTCCCAAAGTGCTGGGATGACAGGCATGAGCCACTGTGCCCGGCCGGCATTTACCTTTCTGTACCTGGCTTATTTCACTAGGTTCATCCACATTGTTGCAGATGACAGAATTTCCTGTTTTTTAAGGCTGAATAGTATCCCATTTTTTGTGTGTGTGTGTGTGTGTATACCATATTTTAAAAATCCACTCATAATAATCCTTTTAAAGGCATCTTTAGAAAATCATTTTCTTTCCTCCCTGCCCTTTCTTAAAACAAGGTTATGTTTTAGCTGTTA